TATTATTATTATTATTATTATTATTATTATTATTATTATTATTATTATTATTATTATTATTATTATTATTATTATTATTATTATTATTATTAATAGCTTTAATATTATTATTAGAATTATTAGAATTAGCATTAGTAATACTTTCTATAATACTTTTTATATTATTTTATAATTTTTAGAAATTAGTAAATAAAGAAAAATAAAAAAGAGTTTATAAAAGAAATAAAGAATAAAAGCTAGAATTAAAAGAAAAAATTATATATATATATATTTATTTATTTACTAATTTATTAGATCTCTTTTTATTTTTAAAGTTTTTTACTTATACTAGTAAGTAATACTTTTCTAAGCTCTCTGAATCTTTTTAGTCTATTATTGAATTTCCTTAAATTATTATATTTTCTAAGTATTTTCTAGCTTTTTATAAATAATTTTAAAATAGAAATCTTTATATAAAATCTTATTCTAATATAAAATAAGGAAAATTATTTAGATATTTTTAGGGCTTAAATATATATTATAATAAGAAAAGTTAAAGATAATTTAAATAAAATCTAGTAAAACTATAAGTTCTTAAATTCTTTTACTATTAGAACTAGTATAAAATACTAATTTACTTATATTATTAATAAATTAATAATAGTAAATAGATTTATTAATATAAAAAAAAGTAAGAAAATAGCTATTAAGAAACTATATTAGAAAAAATTAAAAAGACTCTATTATTTATTTTAAATTAAAAGCTATTTATTAAAAAGTATTTATTAGAATTTATATAAAAAATTTAGTAAAAGAAATAAAAGAAAACTTACTATTAACTTTTTTTTAGAAAATTAGAAAATTCTTTATTTAGTTCTCTAATTCTTTATATTATTAAATATCTATTTATAGAAAACTAGCTATAAAACTATAGTCTATAATTTTGTAAAACTAGATTTAGTTATATTTTAATTTATAAGATTTTAAAGAGCTTTAGATAATTTATTACTAGTATGACGGCAGGAACAAAGCAATGGAACAATGCTCAAAGATCTATGATTCCAATATCCTACAGAATCTAAAGCTAAGGAGAGAAAGAGTGAGGTATGGCAGTGGATAAGTAGGTATGGCCAAGACCACTAAAACACCGAGCTTTGGAAGCGAGCTTGGTTTGAACTATAGCTTGGAACCTTAGCTGAAACCAACCCTTTTGGCTGAAACCAACCATGTGATACTAGCCGTCATATTACCCCTCCCTCCAAAAAGCTCGACCCGAGCGCCAGTATAGTAAAGCAAAGGGAAAGCTAAAGCGAGTGTGATAAAAATGATAGAACAAAGGAAAAGGACCCTATTTCCAATCGCCAGCCGTAAAATCAGCCCTCTATATATGGTTAAAAGCCGGATCTAAGGTTAGCCCTTCTCCAGAATCGCCAGAATCGCTACCAGAATCAGAGTAATGGTCAATTGCGGCAGTTGTAACCCATTTGTAACTAGAACTAGTAGAAGTAGTGCTTGCAGGAGCCAAGCTATAGTTCTTAATAAAGTGATCCTGGGATCCGCATCTAATATATCTGCCGGTTTAATAATAATGCTGGCGGAGCTTCTTTGAGGTAGAACGGGCTGGTATAGCCGGTGAGATTGGCTCAGAGGATAATATAAGGGTACTAATTACCGGTATAATAATATTAATTATTAGTTCGCTAATGTTTATGGGATCGCTAGTAATTCTGGGAGCAGTAATATATGGCGGAGCGGCTATTTTTGATAAGAGCTACTGAACCGTACGTAGGAAATCAGTATAGACCCGGGGCAAAGTTAACTATTAGGCCAAACGAGAGCGAATTGCGGAGTTGAGGCTATTGCGAAAGCTGGAAATTTTATTAATATCTAGCCAGCTTTGGCTATTCGCTTCGTATAGGGTACGTTCAAACTTGGCAATATAGGCAGGAAGGGAATCATTGCCTTGGCGGAGGGCATAGGGCTTGTCTTTAGCCTCCGATTACTTATTTGGATTATTGTATACCCTTGAAAGCTAATCCATGATCGTTTAGTAGTCCTATAATTAAGTGTGCTTTATATAGGAGAGCTATGGTAGAACCATTAATTGGACAGAAGACTCCAGATTGAGGTAAGCGTAGTAAAACTGGGCAGTGGAGTCCCCAATTGCCGATCTATTAATAGAGAGCTTGGCCTTAATTAACGGGAGCCAGGTATCGAATCTGTATGTACTTCCAGCGAACTTCTCAGGGTCAGGGAGCTTCGACTTTTAACTGGATTTCGCCGTGGAGGCAGTTAACTGGGCTTGAGTACTAGCGAGGGCAGCTTGCAAGGTAGTGATTTTAGCCCGTAAACCATTGAACTCGTATTAAACTTGTATTTGGAAGGTATCTATTCTCAAGGGAATATCGGTAAAGTTAGTGCTAAAAAAATTAAGTAGGTGGTAAGCCAGAGGCTCCAATAAATAATGAGGGGTGAGCTGGCCAAAATCGAGCTTTTTGATACCTTGCGGGTAAAAGACTGTAGGCAGTACCACGTAATAATAATAATAATAATAATAATAATAATAATAATAATAATAATAATAATAATAATAATAATAATAATAATAATAATAATAATAATAATAAT